CTCTTTCCCCACAGCCCCTCCAGCATTTGTTATTGGTTGAGTTCTCCATAGCAGCCATTCTTTCTGGAGTGAGATGGAATCTCAGCATTGCTAAAAGCATTGTTTTTGAGAAAATTAATTGGTCAGAATTTTTGTTGTTTTGGTTTGGGGAGTGCTGGGGATTAAACCCAGGGCCTCACCCATGCTGGGCAAATGCTGGGCTATACTCCCCAGTGCTTTTTATTTATTTTATTTTGAGACAGGGTCTCACTAAGTAGCCCAGGTTGGCCTTAACTTTTGATCCTCCTGCCTCAGCCTCCCCTGTAGCTGGGATTACAGGATTTGGATGTCTGGGATTACAGGATTTGGATGTCTGTGATGTTCAAAGAATGAGGACCAGCAGGCTGGGCTCCACCTGGGTCCCTGGAGAAAGGCGGTCTCCACCCCCAGCCTGCCAGTCAGAAGATGTGGCCAGGACAGAGGGATGGGTGGTGATAGTGACACATCAAGGCCGCCAAGGGCGGCTGGACAGGGAGGAGCCCTGCACGGCACAGGGCCGACTTCGGCCTCCCTCAGCAGGCTGACAGATGGAGCCTCTTTCTTCTTTGTGAAGTCATTGTGTCCTTTTAATACGTATTGTCTTTCATTTACTTCTCTTCATTAGCAAGTCAGCCATAAAGTAAACGAGTCATTTTCTAAGGGATGTGGATTGCAACTGCTGTGTACTGCTGTGTCCATGGGCTGCAGGGAGGAAATCACACAAGAAGTAGTGGTGCACACCTGTAATCCCAGCACGAGGGAGGCTGAGGCAGGAGGATCGCAGTGACTTCAAGGCCAGCCTGGGTTACATAGTGAGAGTCCTAAAAAACAGGAAAGAGAGAGAGAGAAAATAAAGAAAACACAGAGATCAGAAGGGAGAAAAGAAAAGTAGCAATACCACCTCTTGGATTTCAGGGCCTTCCTTGCTCCTGGGTTTAAGGCGAATCAAACAGGTGGGCATTCAAAGCGTGCAAGTAGGTCTCCATCGGCTTTTAATCATCGGCTTCAAGAAAATTCAGGTCTCTTAGAAAGGAGAAAAGTAAACAGTGGAGCACCGTGGCTCATTTACACTTCAAATATACTTTGAGTCGGTTATTCCTCAATTAAATCAAGTAGCTGGTGTATCCCTAACGTAGTATGAAGTGACACGCTGTGTGAAGTCACTTTTTCTTTCCAAAATCATTAAATCCAGTAGCCTGTGACTATATCCCTGCTAATTCTGGTGCCGGTCCTTTCATCCCCCATTAACTCCGGCACGCCTAACAGGCTGTCAAGAGTAATTTCCCAGGACGTAAATAATTCAGAAATTAAAAATTAATAAATAATAACAGGGAGCCGCTGGGAGCCGGGCGGGTCAATTAGCCGCTCTCGGATCGGGCTGCTCCGCGGCGGGGGGCGCTGCGGGCTCCCCGCGATCGCGCTTCATTACCGGATCCGGATCTGGCGCCGGTTACCTCCGCCTCTCTCGGTCCCAACTTCAAAGCCTGGTTCCTCCCACGCAGACTAATTAGTGAGCCTCCACTTCGCATCCCGCTCCGCTTTGATGTGCCACCTCAGTCGCCAGCCCACTTAATTAGAATTTCAGTGCGAACTGTCCTTATCTGGTGGCTAGATGTAAATTAAAATAACAGCATTTTTAATTCTCTGTCGTAGGGGGTTATGACATTGCGGGAGAAAAAGTTTCCACGCAAACCTGATATTCTGTACTTTTAGGGCGGAGGAGGGGCTACTGCAAAGCTACGTTCCTCTCTGGAAGTGGCCTTGCTGTCCCCCAAGCTCCCCTGGAAAACGGTCACCTCGATTTGCATAAATGACTGACAGACTCAGCTCCTGGTCCCGAAGCGGCGACTGTGTCTTGGGGAGAAAGCATCTCCCAAAGTCGAGGCCGGACACCCTCGCTCTTAGGGTTCCTTTCCTTGTCCGCCTGCCCAGTCCCCAGGTAACACATGCCAGAGCGGCTTCTGTGGACTCCCCAAGTAGCACTAGGAGATCAAGGGGTCCCGGGACCACGGCAACATCCAGGAGGGACACACGGCGGGCAAAACTGGTTAGAGAACAGAAACCAATATTCGTTTACGGAGCACGCGTGTGCCCCAGCACCGACCCATAGGTCACCGGTGTTAATCCTCCAAGACACCAAACTCAGGATCGTTACCCAGGTCGCCCTGCGAGGCCCTGTGCTCACCGAAGGTCACAGAGGGGGCTGTGAGGAGAAGAGGGCAAAAGAAATGTGTGAGAGAAGCAGCTTAAGCCCCTGCCCGGCCTTCCAGCCCTGCCGCCTCTGCTGTGTGAACTCACCCAGAAAAGCCTGCAGGCACAACCCACACGCAGAGCTTCAAGTGCAGAGCTTCAAGTGCCTGCCTTCCACGCCTTAAGAAATTCAGTCGTTAGGGCTACAGTGTTTGTATCTGAAAAAGCAACAGTGTTCTTTTTTTTTTTGGTACTGGGGTTCAAACTTGGGTCCTTGCGCTTGTAAGGCAGGCATCAGAACCACTGGGCTAAATCCCTGGCCCTAAAGCAACACTGTTCTCAGTTGCCAGGTGTGGAGCTGCTTGCCTGGAACTTCAGCACTTGAGAGGCTGAGGCAGGAGGATCGCCATGAGTTCGAGGCCAGCCTGGGCTGCTTCCTAAATCTAAGGCCAGCTTGGAATGTACAATGAGATCCTGTCTCCAACAAACAAACAAACAAAGAATAGTGATCTCAATCGTCCTAAATACATTATTTTTAAATAGCAAGTAGAAAATCACATATACTATATGTAAAGGTTTTGGAATAAGCTCTTCTCACATTTTCTTAAACTATTTTTTCCAGGGAATGAAATTATTAGCTGTTTTGTTTCTTGCTTTTACAAAACTAAGTTACTAACAATAGGAGCACCAGTGGGACCTTCCACAGCTGCCTCTCCTTGGTCCCTGCATCATTCTGCTGAGTGGATCTCCAGCACAGCCACAAACACCAGAGCCAGGGCCAGCAGAAACTGACTCCATTCTCAGACGCAAAACCCAAGTTAAAGCCTTTCTGGGACAAATCTTTGGGGGATTTAACACAGTTGTTCTCTGACAATAGAATTCAGTTCATTTGCTACTTAGGACATGATTATTTAAATTAAAGTTAATTGGTTTCCTTACTCCCCTTTAGGGCTTTAGGCTCAGAACATTTCTATTAGGAAAATCTAATTTGTTCTCAAGTTCCTCTTTCTAAAATTTAGAATGTCTAAAAATGCTCTGATATTTTAACTCTTTGTAGCAAGAATTATGTGCAGACACCAGCTCAAGGTGACAGAGCAATCACAGACTAGGCACCACATTTTCAGAAGGGCCTACCTAAGTTGCTGAGGACAGCCATGCTCCTGAGAGTCTCCATAAGACTCCCGATCCGTTTGCAAATGGAGACTTGCTTCAGCAAGATCACCAAAGCCGTGACCTGTTAGTCACATTGCATTAATACTTTTAATGCATAAAATTGAATGATGTAAATATAATCAAGTTACTCACAAATAATCGTAGGATTAATACAATGCATCAATTCATGGTGCATTACTCTAGGGTGCGGGGTGCAGGCATGGGACAAAGTGTAAAAGTTCAACAGTGAAAATCTTTCCCTCTTTATGGTGTCTCGATGCCTGTAAATGTAACCTCGTTCAGAAATAACATACATGAGCCGGGTGCAGTAAATCCCAGCACTCTGGGAGGCCGAGGCAGGAAGACTGTAAATTCAGTCCCAGCATGGGCAACTTAGCCACTGAGACCCTATCAAAATAAAGTCTGAGGGTGTAGCTAACTACAAAGGCCCTGGGTTCAATCCTCAGTACTGAAAAAGACAAAGGAAATAGACACGACATCACTTTTACAGTGTGAGCCCCTCTGGAGTAGGGCGCGTGTGTAAAGCCCCCTCACCATTCCTTCGTGGGCTCCAACCTCCACCCACCCGTTCAGGCAGGAAGAATTTTGGGTGCTTATTTGGCTCCCACCACTGCTCTGGGCTTTGGGAAAATGTCAAAAAGAAGAAAAGAAGGACAAAAGTCCACAGGAGACAGCCGAGGTGGGAGAGTACAGTGAACACACGGAGAGTCGGCAGCAGGAGGGGGCGGGCGAGGGGAGCTGCGGGGGGTAGTGGTGTGCAGCTGGAGTGGAATCCGGGCGACCCGGAGCAGAGCCGGAAGGAGCTGGGGGATGAGCGGACCTCGGATTTGGGCTCCTCTGCACAAAGTGGAAGAAGCACCTCAGAGTCGAGTGCAGGACACTCACGGACCTAAAGAGAAACTCAAATTGACATCTTAATAGACAGGGAAAGGAATTTACAGACTCCATCCACACGGCTGAAATGCAGGGAAAATTAAGGAGAGGTGTGGAGAAATGATAGGTGTTTTCCCGCTAACATCAGGAGCAAGGCAGAAGTGCCCACTGCCTACACTGCCGTAGCTTTGGTTTTGGTTTTGGGTTTTTTGTTTTGAGACAGGGTCTCGCCATGTAGCCCAGGCTGGCCTCAAACTCACAGCAATTCTCCTGCCTCACTCTTCCAAATTCTAGGATTACAGGGTGCCCCACCATGCCGGGCCTACACTCCTGTCTGATATTGCTTGAGGCGTCAGCCAATGGGACTGGACCAGAGGCGGGAGAAGTAGGAAGAGATAAGATGTGCAGACGATGTTTCTGGGGAAACCCCAGAAACCCCAGCTGGCAGGCGTGGTGCTACACACTACTCTGGAGGCTGAGACAGGGGGATTTCCCAGGCTGGACTACATATCAAGACCCCGTTTTAGAAAGAAAGAAAGGAGTTTATTTTGTCTCGCCTCTTCCCTTTTCGTCTCCTGTGTCATTTAGGTTTGATTCTATATCGATTCCCCAAAGATTTTTGCGTGGCGTTCTCCTGCATTTGCGGGACCCACCCCCGCCCTCCGAGGCCTCCGTACAATATGGCGGCGCTCTGCAATCCACGGCTTCCGTACAACACAGTGGCCCTCTGTCCGTCAGGCCGCCGGTTCTGACGCAATTCCTGTCCTGCGCAGTACGATGTGACCTGTGAACCGGCGAGCACTTCCTTTTCCTTCTTCCGGGGACGGGGTCTGGAGGTATGGTTGTGTACTTCTTTTCCCTGCCTGTTTTCTGTTTACAATCGCCCGCCATCCGAGTTGTTGCGGGAACGGGGAGTGCTCGGGGACAGTTCTTTGAGCAGGAGTAAGGTTGAGGGTGTAGGAGGGAGGCTAGTGTTTAGCAAATCCTCGATTTTAGCCTCGGAAACTGCTTAATCCTGCCCGCCCTTGCGGAGCGGTGCGGAACCGAGCTGACCGCCCGGGGGCTTTTCCCCATCCAGAGACGGGAACGAGTCGGCGCAGCCGCTGAGACTGGTGTTGCCGAGTGTTCTCAGATCTTAGCACCTACGTTTTCATACCGCGGCCCTAAGTGCCTCTAGGCTTTGGGAGGGCGGGAACCGCAGTTTCCGGTGGTGACGGAGAGACGGACGCTAGGGTTTCTCCCCGTGGAGCTGCGGGCGAGACTGTACCGGGCTCCGTGCCCGTTTTGGAGTCTTGACAGCTCGGTGCTGGTGTGGGTTCGGAAGGCGCTTGGGACAAGCCGTGTGCCCTGTCGCCGATTTGCCGAGTGAGACACCAAGTGTGGTTTCCTGTCAGGATCGGGGTGGGGACGGCTGCCCTTGTGCAGGCGCCGTCTAGGACCGCCGCGGGTTGCGCTGAGGCAGATTTCCAGCACTCGGCCGCTTTGGGAAGACCGAGAACCCACGGCTTGCAGCGTGCCGGGCGCTGGGTTGGGCGAGATCAAGTTATTAAATCCCAAGTTGGGGGAGGAAGCGCTCCTGACGCTGTGCCTCTCCGCAGAGGTACAGCCAAGCGTCAGCTCCAGAGCTCGGGAGTTCCTTTCTGGACACCGCCACAAATGGATATAAGTGCTGCCCGCGCCACCAGGACAGCTGCCACTCGTACCCACCATTGCCCATTATTTTGGGGTCTGCTTTGTACCCCGGCTTCACAGGCGGTCTTAGCAAACACTGCCACCGAACTGCATCCCCAGCCCTTTTATTTACTTGCTTTGAGACTGGTGGTGCATTTTATTGTAAGGAAACCGATGAAAGCGATTACATGTGTTTGCCACCACCGTGGTACAGACTGTCGGATGGGACAGTGGTGCGGGTACCGCCCGTGGTTCCAGCCCGAGGACCCCGTTAGACAAGGCGCCTAACAGAAGGCTGTGTTGTGAGGTGGGAATTATGTGAAGAGGCTGTAAATTTCGAATTGCGCTTATAGTGGAATTACGCTTATAGTAGAAAAATCTGCCGTGATTCTGTTTTTAATTTAGGCTTTCACAATGGTCCAGCGCTTGACATACCGCCGTAGGCTTTCCTACAACACGGCCTCTAACAAAACCAGGCTGTAAGTATTTCCACAATTTGAAATAAACATCGTTGTTCACTCTACAGAATACTGAGCCTTTTCGTTTTGTTCTTTCTAGGTCCCGAACCCCAGGGAACAGAATTGTTTACCTCTACACCAAGAAGGTTGGGAAGGCCCCCAAATCTGCATGTGGCGTGTGCCCCGGCAGGCTTCGAGGGGTGAGTGGCCTCCGATTGTGACGAGGGGTCCCTGTGGGATGCAGGAGTGAGTGGAGAAGTCACCGCTGGATGGTCGAGAGTTATTCAGCATCCAAATCCAGATGCCGGGAACATAGGGCTTCTCCTAAGTTAATGTGATGAGTTGAGTGAAATGCCTTTTAAAGATGTCGGTGCCCCGATTCCCTTTGGCATTGATTCCCTCGTCAGCACTTGCATTACCACTATGAGAGCTTCATCAAACAATCTGTTTTCCTTGTGCAGGTTCGTGCTGTGCGGCCCAAAGTTCTCATGAGATTGTCTAAAACAAAGAAGCACGTCAGCAGGGCCTACGGTGGCTCCATGTGCGCCAAGTGTGTCCGGGACAGGTGAGTAGCCAGCTTCCTGAGCCAGCCCAGCACTGGGTATTCCCCCCCCCCCATCCCTGGAGCCTGGAGAGGTTGGCCCCGTTTTAAACGGGGCTGCTGTAAAGCTTCCGAGGCTGAGGAGAGCAGATGCTGCACACAGCAGTGCATGGTGCTCGGCTGAGCTCTCAGTATTGGGCCTTTCTTACTCTAGAAGTGGATGGTTGATTTTGTAGGGGAAGCAGGTACGGAATCCTGGGTATATGGAGGGCGTGGCAAGGCTGGAGCAGGGCAGAGGCAGCGGTGGGCGGCAAAGCTATCTGTGCAGGGCCTTGCTCACAGTGAGTGTGGGTCTCCAGCTTGGTTTTGAGTATGTGGGAAATGGTAGGTTTTGAGTGCTGCGGAGAACTCCAGTGCATGAGAAATAAAGAGCGGCTAGAGAAGCCTTTTATTCAGTAAGAGGCGGCTGTTGGGGCAGACAGCGCATCCTGCAAGGGTGGGGAGGTGGCGTCTGCATGAAGACCCGTGGGCCTGTGGCTGGCGGGCGGTTCTGGGGATGGGTCCCAGGTGTGGTCGCCCTGGAGTAGCAGTGGGTTGGCCGTGGTGAGGCGGGTGCAGCCTCTTAGCCCTGGCACAAGTGTATCTGAGAGGAGTTCTGCTCCCATCTTTTGTGAGGAACCGGACTGGCGAGGTGCGCGCCAAAATGGAGTGCGGGTGTATTGAGGCGTCCACCTTCACGGGGGAGAGGCCGGTAGAGCAGTGGCTTGGTTCCCGTACACACCGCTGCTTCTGGGAGGTGCACGGCCCCTTCTGAGGCAGGCTGTGAGGGGCAGAAAGGGGAGCCGGAAGTTCACGGGTGCCTTTCAAGTAGCTGGAGTCTGGGGATGGCCTGGAGGTGGAATCTGAGCCGTGGGCTCGCCCGGAAAGGAGAGGCCAGTGGAGGTCAGAACTAGCGTTAGCAGCAAGCGGATTATGGGCTTCGAGCTTGAGGAGCTCATTAGTCTTTGGATCCCCATGATGTGGAAACATTTACGGTGGATCCCTGAAATTCACGAGGGTTACGGTTCTTAGAGCACCGGAGAATTGTGAAAAACATGGTCAGAAAAATGCCTGTTTTTCTGGTTCAAACCATAAATATGCTGTGTCTCCTACAGTTATGTAATTTAATAAAATACTGTGTTAGTGAAACCTTAGAAGGTGCAGGGCATCTTGGTGGCATCTTGGGGCTTCAAGAACAAACCGAGAGCTGGAGGCAGCTTCGGCAGCCAATCAGCAGCAAGGAGAACTGAATAATGCTCTCGGATTGGCTACTTGGAAACCGCCTGCCAAAAAAATTGTGGAGGTTGTTCGAGGTTTCCGAGAAATTGGGAGGGTTTCCCCTGAACGATTATTAGATAGATTCTAAGGAAAAATCCGAGAATGGCTGAGGCCTCAAACAAACTTGAACTGTGAGTTCTCAGGATTACACTGGAGTAAGATAAGTTACCAGGCCCTGGCTCCTTAATCCCTCTCACACAGTTGGTTTATAATGTGGTTAAGCATTCTGAGACATTTTGCAAATCAGGTTATCTATATCCTGGACCTTAATACAAGCATGGAGTGGAAGCTGTGGTGGTTGGTGGTGGCCTCCCGTGGGCGTGGCTCTTGGGCCAGCAGGCAGGTGCTGCTCCCTCGGGGCTGGGCTCGCCCCGGAAGAGTCCCTGCATGACCTCAGCCCTCAGCTGTACGGGGCTTTGGAGCTTCACTTGCTTTTCTGGGCTCCTTGGTTCAGTTCTTGGTGGACTCTTCTTGTCCTGTGTCACCTGGAAAGTAAGCTCGCTGTGGGAAGCCGCTCACTGACTGTTTTCCTCCCCAGGATCAAGCGCGCTTTCCTTATTGAAGAGCAGAAAATCGTGGTGAAAGTGCTGAAGGCACAAGCACAGAGTCAGAAGGCCAAATAAACGAAGCTCTCTGCGTAATAAAAGATGGGCGGGCTTGTTCCGTGTTGCTTTTGTTGTTGTGCCTTTGTCTCCGCGTCTGGCAACTCTGGCCACTGTGCACTATACGCTCTGTGGCCTCGGACCTGGGTGCTGGGTTGGTTCTGTTTCCCCATGGGCTGCCAGGTGCACCCCCAGCCCCATTGTGTAGCCCAGGCTGGCCTCACTTGGCGATCCTCATGCCTCAGCCTCCCTAGTGCTGAGATTGCAGGCCTGCGCCACCACGCTGGATACCCCAGCCCTTTTTTTTTTTTTAATGGTACCAGGGAACGAACTCCAGTCCTTCCACTTGCCAGGCAGGCGGTGAAACCACTGAGCTAAATCCCCGGCCCATTCTCTGCCCTTTTTAACTTTCCCATGCCCTTGAACGTGGGCTGCTTCAGCCTCCGGGTAGCTGGGATTTCAGGCGTGCACCACTGTGCTGGCCATAGAAGTGGTTTGAGCAGAATGTCTCTTTGGAACTTAAATCCACTTGATGATGTTCCGATGACCACTGAGCTAAATCTCCACCCCCTAAGTCTCCCCCTTTTTTTGAGACCAGGCCCCGCTGTGTAGTACAAACTGGCCTTGAAAGTGTGCTGTCCTGCCTCAGCCCTTTGAGTCCCTTAGAGTCCCAGGCCGGACACCTTGGTCTTGTGTCCCAGAGGGAAGCCTTTCCGCCCCGTCTTCATGTCCCGTTGGCTCTGTTGAAAGACAGGTTTTTGGAGACCCACGCTCCTCAAGAACTGCCACTAAGGGGCCAGGGATTTAGCTCGGTGGTTCCGCTGCCTGCCTCAAGCACAAAAGACCCAAGTTCGATACCTGATAAAAAAAAACCCAAAAAACTTGCCACTAGGGAACTTTTGGTCACAGGTTCATGAAATTCAATTTTTTACGTTGGTTGTTGGTCTGGGTCAGAACATTAAAATACAGACCTTTTGTTTACTGTTTTGGGCAGCTTTGTAAAATTAAGTGTATTGGTGCAATCTAGATGCACATAATGATGGCGTCTATGGACTTTATATCTGTACGTGCTGTGTCTTTTTTTGGCAACTGGATATGAGGAAATGTTGATGCGTCCCTGTGCTGGCCCAAGTGTTAGACACAAGCTCGCTGTGCGCCAAGATGAGCTCCCTCAAGTTTAACTCCAGTCTCTTAAAGCCCTCGGGGCATTTGTGTAAACCAGAAGTGGAAAAGCCAAGTCCAGCCTGGGCATTAATTTCTTTAACCAGTGGAATGTGACAAATGCTCACAGGCTGCCCTCAAACTAGGTGATTTTCCTGCCTCAGCCTCCCCTTGCATTACAGGTGTGCCCAGCTGAGTTTCTCAGCCCAGTACTTGGCGGGGACTCCAAATAATAGTGAACACCTGCTCGGATCCTGCAAGCACAAGAAAGAGCAGGTGCTGGTGCAAGTTTGTGTGTTTGTTCAGAGGTTGGAAAGTGGTGAGCAGCCCAGGCTAGCTGGCTGAGGCCCGAGCTGAGCCCTCCCTTACCTGTGCTCGGCCAGGTGGCTGAGCCGTCAGCTCCCCAGATACGCCAGGGAGAACCCGAGTGGCCGCTGAGTGGGTAGTGTTTGGTCCCCCTGTTAGAGGTCTTCAGTGAGGGTTCAGTTGAGCAGCTCCGGCCTCCAAGGTAGGACAAGCGCAGTCCCTGTCGGGCTTTGTGTCAGGCGGTCATCCGTCACGTGGGGTTCTGCTTTAAGAGTAGGAAAATGTGTTGGGGAATAGGGATGGGGAGCAAGAACAGCTGAGAGACAGGAGGGGGCCCGAGTGGGTGCCAAGGAGCCCACTTCTCAAAGGTGGTTTTACAGAGCAAAGTCACGGTGGGGGGGGGTTGTACAATGTGCCTAAAAGCTGTAATCGACCAAAAAGATTACAGGCGCAGTCGCTTAGGTGATACTGACCCAGTAGTAACAAGGGCGGGTGGGTGACATGCACCTTGGTCCGCAACCTGCAGTCTTAGTCTTAGGTCTTTTTTTTTTTTCTTTTTGGTACCAGGGGTCGAACTCAGGATCTTGAGCTTGCCAAGTAGGCGCGGTGCCACTGAGCTAAATCTCTAGCCCCCTTTTTTGATTTTTTGAGACAGGGTCTTGCTATGTGTAGGCCACACTGGCCTTGAACTCACTGTGCCGCCTAGGCTTAGTCTTCGGTCGTCTTCATCTTAGTGGCCTTGGTCTTTCCACTGAGTATTGGCACATGTTAGGTGTACAGTGCAGTCACATTCGTCATTGGTGCTTGGACCTGTACATGATGCATCTTGGTTCTTATTTTTCCCCCTTCCCCTGTCCTCCCTTCACCCCCTCCACCCCTCCCTATTTACAAAGACTTTGTTTCCAGTTTTTCCATTTTTCATATTTTTTCTTTTCTTTCCCCTACTCCTTTAGACCTTTTCTTTCTGTTTCACATTATCAATTATACATTTTGATCCTTGTTTACACTTTCAGTTTTTTACACCAGAGAAACTATTCGGTATTTACACGTGTGTGTCCTATTTATTTCACTTAAGAGGATGGCCTCAGTATGCATCCATTTAGCTATAAATGTCTAGTTTCTCATTCTTTATGCCTGAGTAGTACTCAGTTTTATTAACCCACATCTTTATCCAGTCTCCAGTTGATGGGCACTTGGGCTGTTTCCAAGCTTTAGCTATTACAAACTGTGCCGCTATAAACATGGGTGCACATATATCACTGTGGTATGATTCTTTTAATTCTTTGGGGAAGATCCCCAGCAGGGGAATAGCTGGGTCAAATGAGACCTCTAGTCCTAGTTCTTTGAGGTATCTCCATACTGATTTCCACAGTGGTTGCACCAGTCTGCACTCCCACCACCAATGGAGAAGGGTTCCTTTCTCCCCACGCCCCCGCCAGCATTTGTTATTGGTTGATTTCTTGATAGCAGCCATTCTTTGTGGGGTGAGGTGGAATCTCAGTGTTGTTTACATCGTAGCATCTCTCGACCAGTGATGATGAACATTTTTTCATCTGTTTATCTGCTATTTCTACTTATTTGTGTGAGAAATGTCTGTGCATTTCAGTTGCCCATTTTTGAATTGGGTCTTTGAATTTGGGGGGGGGGTCTGATTTTTTTCAGTTCTTTATATATTCTAGATAGTAGTCCTTTGTCTAAGGTACAGCTGCTAAAAAATTTTTCCCACATTGTAGGTTGTCTCTTAGCTCTGTTGGTAGTTTCTCTTGCAGTGCAGCTTTTTAATGAGATGAGGTCCCAATTGTTGATTCTTTGTGCTAGTTCCTGTGCTACTGAGGTTTTGTTCATAAAGTCTTTTCCTATGCCAGTGTCTTCAAGAGTTCTACCTAACTTATCTTCCAGCAAATTTAGTGTTTCTGTCTTAATTTAGATCTTTAATCCACTTTGATCTTTGTTTAGTGCATGGTGATAGATATGGTCTAGTTTTAATCTTTGGCAGGTTGAAATCCAGTAAAACTTGGTACTTTTTAAATAATGCTTTCCAGGAACGGTGTGCCTTCAAAAATCAAGTGCTTATGGATTGGTCTTCAGTGTTTAAAATGCTTGAGCTACTAGTTTTAAAATATAGTTGAGGTGCCAGGCCTGTTGGTGCACACCTACAATCCCAAAACTCAGGAGGCTGAAGCAGGAGAATCCCTGCAGATTCAAGGCCAGCTTGGACTACATAGTGGGACCTGTCTCAAAAGAACAACAACGAAAATGTCCCGGCCCAGCCTGAGTTCCTGCTGTCGGGCTCTGGCTCCCTGAGGCTTCCAGTTCCGAAGTTCTGCTGGCCTGAATGCAGGCTCTTACCTGGTGGACGCCGAGCTCAGCATGACGAGAGAGGAGCTAACAGGAAGTGGGGAAAGCTGAAGCTTTGAAGCACACACATTGCGAAGGACTGTTCGCATGTTTCACGGTGTAAGTTACGTGCTTTACTTTTCTAATGTTTTCTAACGTGGTAGACAGTTTAAAAATCTCTTCATGAAGATAATTTGAATAACTGGATGTTTTGCTTCTCGTTCTGTGTTCAAGGCATAAGATAGATATTATAAGTCTGAATGGGAAGCATACTGTAAAATGTCGCCCCCCCCCCCCGTAACTCCTGAGATTGAATTTCTTTTGAAAATTATTTTAGTGGTTGTGACATAATTTAAATACTCCTTTTTTTTTTTTAGCTACTTGCAATTTTCCCTCATCTTAAGACTTGTGGCGTATTCGGTCAATTCACTTAGGCTGATTTTTGAAAATTCCTACACTGATTGGGGTCTGGTTGGTGTGACCCTAGGCTCGCCTCTGTCCAAGCAACCAGAATGAATTCTCCAGCTCTGCTAGGTTTTGATTTTATAGAAAACAATGACACTTTTACTGAATCCAGTTCCATGTGTGACAAAGTAATCTTGACAGGTTCCAAGGGACATGTGAGTGTAGTCAGTGGTTTTCCTGTCAAAGCCTAGTATTTCTCCTCCACTGAGCGGCTTATAAATTCTAGTAGAGGGTTGAAGGGGTCTTTTGCCCTTGAAAGCAGAGTTTCCGTGTCTGTTTCCAGCAGCTGAATGGCACCTCACCGAGTTCCCCCTGATGAGTAGGCACTTTGGCCCGCAGGGTCTAGCAGTGGGGTTGTACCCAGCCTTCACTGTCACCTGGGTCTTAAACGGACCGAGCCCTGCTCAGTGTTGCCATGGTGACGGTTGACGGCAGGGCGGCTCTGCGTAGCTGCTCTCCCCTGAGGTGGGACGCGGGGTACCCTGCACTCTGCATTTCTTTCCAGGCCTGAAATCGTGTCGATGACAGTGGTTACCTGGGAAATCAGCGGACGCTACAGAATCCTTTTTCCCTTCCAGTTGGACGCTGGCACCTGGCTGGGTGTTACTCAGACTGCAGTCTGTTGTCACAGGTTGGACACAGGCTGCTCTGGGTAAAAGGTGTCTGATACCTGGTACATGTGTGATAACAACTTACACTGTAGAAGTTTTGTAAAAGCTTTATAAGTGTTTATCAAACTTCGATTCTGGAAACTTCAATTCTGGTGTGGTGGTGCTCGCCTGTAATCCCAGCACTCAGGAGGCTGAGGCAGGAGGATTGAAGTGAGTTCAAGGCCAGCCTGGCTACATAGCAGGGACCCAGTCAACAAACAAACGAATGAGACTGAATCTGTAAATACTGTGGATTTCACTTTTAAAAATTTAAAGTGGTCTTGTTGCTGACTCCAGCTGTGTGTGACCCGTGCTGTGTAGGAAAGTGGGGAGAGCAGAGTAAGAGTCTCACAAAGGTGAAAGTTCACCTCTTAAGCAGTGAAAATTAAATGTGACAGGCCCAGCATTCTAAACCAGAAGTAAAAAAATAACATTCATGAATTTTGTCTCCACCGTAGTTTGGGCTGCTGTAAGAAATGACCACTGACCTGGTGGTTTAAATGACAGTCACTTATTCCTCACAGTGTTGTGGAGCTGGGAATGCCAGGATGCTGGTCCCTGGGGTAGGCGACTGACAGAGCGTGTTTCCGGGTTGCAGGCGGCCCTCCCAGCTGGATTTTCATGTAGGGCAGAGGTCATCCACCTACCAGTGATCCCAGGCCTCTAATCCCATCATTCGGGGAGGCGGAGGCAGGAGAATTGCAAGTTTGAGCTCAGCCTCTGAGCATTTAGTGACAGCAAGATCCTGTCCCAGTTTTTAAAAACTGACTAAAAAGGGCTGGGGATGTAGCTCAGTGAGAAAGCCCTGGCCTCCATCCCTAGTAACACACACACACACGGCACAAAATTCCCCGTCGGCATAGCCTGTGCCCCCACGTGGCTTCTGTACCAGAAAAGGTCTACGTCGCTTTCTTCCATTTTCAGGGAAGCTGGGGAAAGCGGGCGTCCCCAGTATTTACTTCACCTGGGGCACAGATTGCCCCTCGCTGTGGGGGAATGTACCTCACAGGTGCCTGGGCATGTGTAGGAGGAAGGTCACAGGGCCGAGGCCCCTGCCTTCCCTTTCCCCAGCCTTGCAGATGCCAGGCCCGGCTCTACCTGCTCACCATGAGCTGCCTAGGAGGGTGCCGTTCTTCCTGCAGGGCCAGGCCAGGCTGCCACAGACACTGCCTGCTTAACGACCTCTGACTTCCAACCCATCTGTTTTTGTACAGTTCTGCGTGTCTTACTGATGGGCTCTCAGTGTCTTTTGTGCAGTGTACCTTGTTGATACAGTACTGTAATCTTTGCTGATTGTACTGTGCAGTACTATAGTTTTCTGTTCTGTTATACATTACAGTACTGCATGTAACAGTTATGCAAATAAAGCCAAGTCATTAGGTTGGAATTTCCTTTGATCGCATCATGTCTTTGTTCTGAATACTGTAATGTGCATACTGTATACAAGTCCTCATTTGGTGACCAATTTACCTAAGCAGCCATGGACGGCGCAGAAAGAGCCAGGCATAGCAGAGTTCCAGTGGAGCTTTATTTACAAACGCGGATGTCCTGTCAGATTCGGCCCTCGGGTTGGAGTTTGTGGAGCCCCTGCCCTAGATGATCCTACTTCCAGCCTCAGCTGTGTCTGACTCCAAGTAAGACCAGCGTAAAGTCACCTCATGTCCAATCGTCCAGTGGGGGAACCGGGGAAAACAAAAGGGACTGAGTTTCTTTAGAGCCCATTTTGAGATGTTCCGTTACACAGCAGTGCACCACTAAACCAGTGGCACTGTGCAGGACAGTAATCTTTAATTTTTTTATTATTTGTTTTTGAGACGGGGTCTCAATCTGCTGCCCAGGTTGGCCTTGAACTCCTGGACTCAACAGACCCTCCTGTCTCAGCCTCCGAGTATCTAGGCCTGCAAGGTTACGCCGCCAACTCAGCTTGAAAATTGTCACTTTTATACTTCCTAAAGAATTTTGGAAAGTACATAGACCCTTCCACAAAGTGCTAGGCATAAAATTTTGGCCTCTGTTTCTGTTCCTAGCCAAGCCCTGCACAACGTCCAGGGCAGACTGTGGCTGTCAGGGGAGGCGGCGAGTGGCTGCAGGCTGCATTCCACAGAACAGCCCTTCCCCTCCCTCGCTCGAGAGTCTCAGGTGAGTGAGGAAGGGCCGGTGGGTTGGAGGTTTCCTTCTGCAAGTGGGAGCAGAGCGCTGGCTGTGAACGCGGTGGGGAAGGGAGTGTGGGACAGCCTCTCAGGGCCCCTGTGAGAGCTGATCCTCCAGAGATCGCTTTCCTTCCACACGCAGTGTCCCGGCTCCCTGGGAATGACCTCAGTAACCCTGGAAACCAAAGTGCCCCAAAAGTTTGGAGAAGCCCGGTCCAAAGATCCCTGCTGTACTGAAGAGCGTCACAGCTGGGTGGACTGGCTTGGGGCTGCTGCCCAGTTTCTGCTTTCTTGCTCTGTGAATCTGCGGTCCTCCAGGAGCCAGGCAGGGCTCTGGGGTTAGGGGATGCCAGCAGCAGGCCTAGGAGCGGGGCGGGGCTGGCTGTGAATCAGCCGCTCAGCCATTCAGCCCGGGGCTGTGCCATTGAGGCTTTGGGAATATGAACACAGGCTCGGTCCAGTTTATCCCGGGTCCTGCATGAGCTTCCCGTGTCCAGCCCGACCTGTGCATGCGTGGGAAGACTGCTTACCATTCCCGAACCCTGCTAAACCCATCTGAATAGAGACAAAGTACTTGTTGGGGCATGGTTTTCCGGGGGGGGGGGTGTTGTGTTTTTTTTTTTAGTACCAGGGATCGAACTCGGGTTCTTGCACTTGTGCAGCAGGCAGAGAAACCACTGAGCTAAATCCCTGGCCTGCATGGTTTTAATAAATACTGAAATTTCCAGGAATGCAACTGCTATGGAAAACCAGTGAAGATGCTATTTTTCTTCTGAACATTAATCTGCAAAATCCAATATTTGGGGGAAAAAGTATTAACAAACCATAAAACTTTGATCTTCTGCAAGGTGATTTGAGATTCCCAAGGTTTTGAAAAAAAAGAAAAGTAAACGTATGGTGAATTTGCTCATTTCCATTTTTGTCTGAAGTCTTTGTTGCTAGATATGGTTTGTGCAGAATTTGATTGATAATGAATTTGACTGTAGCATGATACCAAAGTCTACCACGTTCCTTCCCAGACGGTCATGATTGCTAAGTAGTTTGCTCTCTGAACAAGTTTTCAAGACACTACTATGGGCAACTGGAAAACATCAGAGTGTTTAAGTCCATTAGCATTGAGAATGTTCCCTTTGATGACTTGAAGAATTCACATCAATTCATTCAACAAACATTACCTGTGCACCCCATGGGCAGCAGGCCCTGTGCTGACACTGACTCTGAGGAAGATGAAGTCTCCCAGCCCCTTGCCTGCCACCTTCTCGCCGCAGATGCGGATGTGTGGCTTGGGATGGTTACACAGAGGAGGTTCCACGTTCTCATGAAGGCGTTACTTACACTTTCTGGGTCTTTGTCTGTGAAGGCCCTGAAGGGGGTTAGGGATGCAGGCTGGCCACTGGTGGATGATTAACGCGCGTCACTAACCCTAGGACACCTCTGCCTCCACCCTGGTGTGAAAGGTCAGAGTGGTCCCTCTGGGTGCTGAGCTTCCTGGCTCTGGGCTCTGAGTTCCCGATGGTGGCCGAGCAGCCCAGGGACCCACTTCTGCTGCTGGGGTGCGGAGCAGCCAAGCTGCTCCCGAGTCTGTTGGGAGCCGGCGTGTCTCTGTCCCCTGAAGACACCAGGCTGCCAGGCGAAGCCGCGGTCAGGACAGCAGGGAGAGCACGGTGGCCACTCTTCAGAAGGGACCCTGGGGCCCACCCGCCCCCACAGGGTCCTTGTCAACCTGAGCTTGGGCCAGGCACGGTGGCTCCCGCCTGCGGTCACCGCCCTCTGGGAGGCAGAAGCAAGAGGGTCACAATTCCAGTCCCAGCCAAGCGATTTAGTGAGACCCTCTCTCTAACTTTGAAATAAAATCTATGGTTTTTAAGAGTGGGGATGCAGCTCAGTGCAGAAGATCTGGGTTCAGTCCCCAGGACTGCAAAAACACAAGCGAAAAACTCAGCCAAGCTTGACAAGAGGCTCCAAGGCTGGTGCTTTCAGGGTCCTGTGGAGGCTGCGGCAGCTGGGGAAAAGTCAGGGTCCTGAGCCCTCGAGCAGCATCCCATCACGACCTGGTTCTCACTGAGTTGAACCCATCTGGTAGCTGACTCTCTGAGATGCCTCGTGGGTGGGGTAGAAAGGATGTGACAGCACCTAGATAAACATGGCTTCCTGCAGGACTGAGCAACTTCTTACATTCTCTGTCTCAGTCACCTCGCCCATAAAAATGTAGATAACGACCAGTACTTCTGAGGTTCCTGAGGCCAGTGTCACAGGCTGTGTTTTGTTTGTAGTTTTGGTGTTTTGAGACAGGGTCTCACTATGTAGCCCAGGCTGGCCTCGAACTCATGGTGCTTTTCCTGCCTCAGCCTCCCCAGTGCTGGAATCACAGGTGTGTGCCACCTCGGCAGCTTGAGCTGAATAGTTCACAGTGAAGATGTGGTCTTGCTCTCTCACCTGCTGTTAGGGCACGTCAACTTTCTTACACACATTGGGGACAACACGAAAAGCAGGGTAGGGTGGGGTCCCCTCCTGAACGATGAAGGAGAAGTGACAATGTTGGAAACAGACCACGACTCAACTGATAGCCTCCTGAATCATCTTTTACCCCAAACAGTCTTTGTCTCTTTGTAAGGAATCACACGCACTCACGGATATGTGCCTGCATGCACACACGCGCGCCCACACACATGCGCGCACGCTGAAGCGCCACGCTGTATTTGATTAGTTCCGGGCAGAAGTGTGTTGGGGCATCTGAAAACCACAGCAGGAGACACAACTCTGCCGGGCCTCCTGCTCCGGGAATTTCCCTCCAGCTGAACCGGAGGGAGAGCACTTTGGTACCTGGACACATGGAAATATTTTGCAGCACCCTTAACAGGCAGCCCTTCCGCTCAGCGCGGGTGTAGCGCACACCCTCCTCCAAGTCAGGGCCTAGGGAGACCCACAGCCCTCAGCTGGGTACTTCTGCCCAGCCAGGTTGCCTTGGTCGCTCGGACTCCAGGATACAGAGTTCAGTCCTGGGGCCCCAAGCGGGCTGCTGTCCCCTGGGCTCTGCAGACCCCACCTGGACAGCTCAGCCCTCAGGAAGGTGCTGGCTTCCCACTTGCTCCCGACGGTGCTGCAGGGTGGGGTGGCAACCCTCCTGCATGGTCAAACTGAAGCATGAGTTTGGGCTTGGATTCTTCTGTTGTTTGAAATGCCCTCCTAATGCTGGGGTGAAATGCGCCCCAGGAAAATATTCTCACTCACACAAATTGATTAACAGAGGTCTCTTTCAGGGAGAGCATGGTACAGGAAAGTGGTATTTGCATTTCATGCTTGTATTCTTTGTATTTTATGATTCTGAAAACGTAATCTTAGTTTTTCAGAACAGGAATTGTAGAGCCAGGCCTAGTGTTGCCAGTCTAGTCTTAGCACTTGGGAGGCTGAGGCAGGAGGATCACTGAGTTCAAGGCCAGCCTGCACTATCTAGCAAAACCCTGTCTCAGAAACAAACCAACAGAACAAAACAACCCCAAAAACAGGCCAGGGACCATGTGTCTGGTGATGCTAGGGGCCATTTTGTTATTTAGTCTTTATAGATTTCTGTAGTGAAAAATGAAATGTAATAAGTACACCTTTAAAAGCTTAACTAGGAATAGTTCTTTTAAAAAAAAGATTCAGTTCCCAAAACTTGGGATATACATTTTAAAAATGTACAAGTCTTTATGATATGCAAGGCAACTAGATATCAAAAAATATCCTGGGTTTGATATTTTATTCATCTGAAAATGATGCTTTCACAAGATTTTTCTTTTATCATTAAAAGCATAAACCATTTGCACTTTAAAGATGAGCTCGGAGGCCAGGGAAAGCAGCCCTTGGATCTCTGTAATGTGTAATTACCCCGACTCGGTCATTAGCGCTGGGGTGAGGCTCTTTTACATAAGTTTGCCTTTTTACCATGCTTGTGAGTACAGTTTGCAAATCTCAAGGTATCAAAAGTATATTTTGGCCAGGGTAAAACTGCGTGTGACTGGATCCTGTAAAAGATAACTACTGCCCTGCTGTGGCCACAGGAGGAAATTATGGATGGAAAGTCAGAAAAAAATTCTAGTTGAATTGCAAGAGCGTTGCAGGTCAGATAGAAATGTCAGGTAGATCATCTGCAGCTATTTTTTAAATTAATGTCTTGATTAATTGTATTGTGGGGGCATGTGTACATATTTTTAAAAATCTGGACCTCTAATGCTCTACAACAATCCATTCTTCTGGTGTCGGTCTTGAGTCTTTACCTCTCTCCCCAGACGCCAGACCAATCCTCCTGGCCGCCCTCGGGCTTCTAACGTTTGAAATCAGCGAACTGTCAGATGTGAACTGCCGCAGCTGCCTCGCCCTCTCTGCATCTAACAGCTTTACTGTCCATACCAGCCTGTGTGTTAGACGGCAGCCCAGGACTCTGCCGCTCTCTGTACGTGTCAGCTTGAGCATGTTACCCATGTTGATGGGCCTCAGTGTCCTTAGCTGACAAGTGGAGAAATAGCATCTACTCCGAACAATCACTGGACAGATGTGCTCACTGTTCAACTGAGTATCAGTGCTAGATGCCTCTGAACTCTCTGCTTTCTTTCTCTGCAAGATGGCTCGGCTTTTTCCCAAGGTAAACTTCACCCCTGTTGGGCTCCATCTGTTGCTGTGGCCCTCACTCTGTTCATTTTCTTATTCCCCTCCCCCTAGGAAGTTTGGCCCCTCCCGCTCCATGATCTTCTCCCCAAACACACCTGTGTGAGTCAGCCTTTCGTTGCTGAGACAAAACCCCTGACACAGTTTAAAGAAGAAAAGTTGATGGTGGCTCATGGTTACAGAGGTTTCAGTCCATGGTTAGCTGACTTTAAGCAGAGACATCAGGGTGGAAGGGCGTGGCAGAGGAAAACTGCTTACCTTGTGACAGCCAGGACAGAGAGAGAGAGAGAGAGAGAGAGAGAGAGAGAGAACAAACCCCTGCACATCATGCCCCAGTGACCTACTTCCTCTAACCAGTGCTGCCTCCTACCAGCACATTCAGCTGTGAGCTCATGGATGGATTAACCCACAATAAGGTTAGCACCGCATGATCTCATTCTTTTCCAAAAGTCTATCTCTGGGTACATGGGCCTTTTTTTTACAGTACCAGAGATTGAACTCAGGACCTTGTGCTTATGAGGCAGGTGTGGCACACTGAGCTAAATCCCCAGCCCAGGGGAACATTTTCAATCAAAACCTAACAATCCCCAAATCTTATGATCCTGGAAAACCCCTTCTGCTACCACCCCAGCTCTTTTCTTCCATTCCTGCCTGGCTATGAGTGGACTGTATGGTGGATAAACCCTACATTAACTCACTTGGTAAATTCCCATCCGTGGCTCCCCTCTGCAGTCTGGCTTCTTTTTTTTTCTTTCTTTCTGGTACTGGGGATCAAAATCGGGACCTTGTGCTTGTGAGGCAGGCACTGGAACCACTGAGCTACATCCCTGGCCCCTGCAGCCTGGCTTCTCCTCCTGTTACTACACCACCGAAATGAAAGAATTATCACCAACACTGTGCCGGCATTTACCGTAATACACATCGCAGACGCTGTGCCTCGTAGAGTTCAGTCTGTTCCCGGGCCTTTGCAACAAGGTGCTCTTGGCTACATACTCACCATCGAGGGCCGACTGCCAAGCCCAGTGGCTGCAGTTCCACCCTCTGCAGTGTCTCTGCTCCTGCTGCTCCCTGGCTCCGCTCCCTTGATCTCGGCGTTTTACTTTGTGGCCTCCTCCTGATCATGCGGATTCCTTGGGCATCAGCCTTCAGCTCTCTTCCCCCCACTCCAACTTCAGTCTGTAAACGTCCCATAAGTGCACCCTGCGTTGGGCACTGAGTGTGGGTGTTTCCTGTGGGTCTAGTTCATGGCTTTACACCTCCACAGGAGG